TGGCTCTGCGGGCTCCTCGGGGTGGAAGCTCTCCTGCAGGGCCTCCTGGATCCTGACAGCCCCCCGATTGTCCTCCCCTGGATGGCAGCCTGTGGCAAGTGCAGCCGGGCTGATGGCCAAGTGCTGTGATGTGCCGAGTGTGGGCACTCAGGGCACTCCAAGCCAGGACTACTTTGCAAGCGGGGAACCCCTGAGAACTGTCTGTCCGGGGTGGTGGTCGGGTCTCTTTAAGCACAGCCCTCGGCTAGCCTGAGACAGTAGCTCCATGCTCTAAGTCCTAACCTGATGCCCTGCCGGCACTGCTTCCGGCCATCCTTAACCTCGATTCAGGGTCCACTCAATATGGACATGCTAGTTCGAATTAGCAAAACGCTAATTCGAACTAGTTTTTAGTTCTAGATGCACTAGTTCGAATTAGCTTAGTTCGAATTAACTAATTCGAATTAAGTTAGTTCGAATTAGTGCTGTAGTGTAGACATACCCTGTGTTGTTAAAATATGTTGTGTGTTTGGAAACACACACAAGCAGCTTTTCAGGTACAACAGTGGAGTACCCAGATGTCCTCATGGCCTAATAAAAGGAAGAGGATCCATTTTCCCAACAGCCATCCAAGAGCCTTCTGAAAGGGTGTGTCTAGACTACAGGGTTTTGTCGACAAAAGTGGACTTTTGTCGACAAAACTATACCTGCATCCACACTGCCTTTGAGTTATGTCAACTCTGCCGACAAACAGCTGATCGGCAGATCGGGGCAGCCATTTAAATTTAAATGAAGCCGCGATTATTTTAATCGCGGCTTCATTTCCCCCTTCCGATCTGGCTAATCTACATGCCTCCGTCGAAGGAGGCATGTAGTCTAGACACACCCAAAGAGTGCACATAGATAGTGGAGACTGCTTAACCACGGCGTGGACCCCCCACCCACATTACACATACCCTCCACATCACACACACAGCTCCTTTCAGCAAGCTGGAAGAAACTATCAAGAAGAAAATGACATCATGATTTGTCTTCACTCCCTCTGTAACTCAACACTTGGAAACATGTTTGGAAGACAAAGACTTTGAATTGGGGAGGGTGGTCTTGGACTGGAGAAGAGTTCTAGCCTATCTACTGAAAATCTGTGAATTGAGGTTTGTGCCATCTATCAGGGTGAGACCTGTCTTGCTCCAAATCCTATTTAGTTTATAGAACTCAGATTGCAAATTTACTTTTATTTTGTAGGTGACCAACCTTGATTTCTGTGCTTATTTATTTATAGGGCAAGTCTACACTACCATGCTACATTGGCACAGCTGTACTAATGCAGCTGCATTGCTGTAGCGTGTCTGGTGAAGAGGTACTATGCCAATGGGAAAGTGCTGTCTTGCCAATAGAGTGTGAGTTGGACACTGCTTTTAGTTGATGTAACTTAGATCACTCAGGGTATGTCTACACTACAAAGTTAATTCGAACTAATGGACGTTAGTTCGAATTAACTTTGATAGGCGCTACACTAGAGCTCCGCTAGTTCGAACTTAATTCGAACTAGCGGAGCGCTTAGTTCGAACTAGGTAAATCTCATTGTATGAGGACTAAGCCTAGTTCGAACTTACTAGTTCGAATTAAGGGGTGTGTAGCCCCTTAATTCGAACTAGTGGGAGGCTAGCCCTCCCCAGCTTTCCCTGGTGGCCACTCTGGCCAACACCAGGGAAACTCTATTGCCCCCCTCCCGGCCCCGGACCCCTTAAAGGGGCACGGGCTGGCTACGATGCCCGTGCCAGGTGCAAGCCTGCCAGCACCCAGCTAGCAGACCTTGCACCTGGCATGGCTCGAGCCAGCCACCCGATGCCCCCCCGCCCCCCCCCCCCTCCCCCGACCCGGCTGGGGGGCCC